CAGTTGAAAGTTGGGATCAATGCACAAAGGAGAGGCTCTAGCAAATGTCAAGGTGTGAGGCAAGGGGGGGGGGGCGACAACGGTGTTGCCAGCAAACGCAAGGAACGTAACGAGTGGCAGCGATGGACACAAGCGAGCACACATGCATGTGTCCGCATCCACAAACAGACACACACAGACACAGACACAAACAGACACAGACACAAACAGACACAGGCACAGACACAGACACAGACACAGACACAGACAGAAACACACAAAGCCGCGAATACGTGTCAGTTTGTGAATGACAGCAGGATGTTTGTGGCCATATCAAGGTCATTCTTTGCAATCCTGAGCGCCTTTTCAGACTGGTCCCGCGCAAACCCCATCTCTGCACAAGGATACAAGCACACACATACACACATGTTAAGACACGGGCACGTGGAAGAGCACAAAGTGGTTCATGGAGGTGTGCGGGATGAAGCACAAGCCATCATCAAGTGTCAGAATGCAAGTAAACTCTCCAAGAACACTCCAAGCAACCCGCCAGGAGCAAACGCCACCACCATCAGCGCCACCGCGTGCAGTGGCGTTGAGGCAACGCACCAACGAGCCGTCGGAGGCGAGACGGGTCCACGACCGGCTCCGTACTGCTCATGCCCTCACTGATGTATGTATGTGTGTGTGTGTGTGTGTGTGTGAGTGTGTGTGTGTGTGTGTGTGTGTGTGTGTGGTTGTGATGGTGGTCGTGTGAGTACAGCGCCGCCAGCGAGTAATTGATGGTGTGCATGTGTGTGCAGTGGAGACAACGATACTATTGTGATTGGTGGCCACCTTGGTCTACGTGATGCGCCCTGGGATGCAGACACGCGTGGAAGTGGCGGCAATCTCCGATTCCTGCCATTGAGAGATGTTGTGAGTGAATGAAGAGTCCATGTTGCATGCGCGTATTATGTGCAATGTGTGCGCGCGCGCGTATTGTGCATTGCGCGCGCATATTGTGTGCGTATTGTGCTACTCTGTGTGTGTGTGTGTGTGTGTGTGTGTGTGTGTGTGTGTGTGTGTGTGTGTGTGTGTGTGTGCATACAACCAACCTGGACGAGGTTGGGGACAGAGGAGGAGAGATTGGGGGTGGGGGCGCACTTGGACATCCTGATTTTGTTGTGGGCGGGGGGGGGGGGTCGGTATAAAGTGGATGAGGTGGATGAGGTAAGGGGAGAGGAGCAGTCATGGGAAGCGAGAGGGAAATGGCGAGCAACGGGCCTTGCACGCAAATCCCAAACCCCGCGATGAATTGGCCAAACCAAAAACAAAGCAAACCAAAGTCAAACACAAACAAATCAAACCACACAACAAGCGGGAGCAAGACGCACTGTGTGAGGGGTAGAGGTCCTTGAGAAGGTCCAAATCATCTGCGTTCACACCACCACCATCATCGTCGTCATCATCGTCATCAGCGTGATCGACATCATCGTGACCGTTGTCGTCGTCATCAGCGATGGGATCAAACGGGTCCACAACAATGTTCTCAACGCTCAAAACCTGGTGATGGAGGCATACAAGCACGCGTGTGATCATGTACATCAGAATAAAGAAATCAATTGCAGTTGGATACGCGCACGCACGCACGCACACACACACACACACACGCACACATGCAAATACAGCACACACACACACTCACACACTCACGCACGCACACACACACACACTCACTCACGCACGCACACACACTCACGCACGCACACACACTCACGCACGCACACACACATAAACACAACACAACACAACTCGTCCAGGCAAACGGACAGGTTTGCGGCAAAAGGGGCACGGCGGGTCCTTCTTGGATGTCTGCGTCCATTTCTGCAGACAGTCGTTGCACATGAGATGCCCACACGGCTCCATGCGCACGCTGACATACACATACATATACGTTGTCACATGTCGTGTGAATGGCGTGAAAAATACACATTCCAGAGGGGGGGGGGAAGCATGTCACAGTCCACCATTCCCAACACAATCACACACACACACACACACACCTCTTGAGGTTTGCGTTGCAAATCTTGCACAGCTCGAATGTCGAGTCCATGTTGCAGTAAATGTCATACTCCTCCTTTGTCACCTGGACAACAGAACACACAAATGCACACACATGTGTGGTGTATTGTGAGGAAGCGTCGTCAAAAAAAAAACCATTGCACCATGAATCACGTGTCGTATGTATGTGTATGTGTGTGCGTGTGTGTGCAATAGCATGTGGGCGCTTCATGCACAGACCTGGACTCTGTTCTGGGGCGCATCGCTGATCATCCTCTTCAGATCCAATTGCACGTTCTGGTCATCACACGGATACACGTGCACATGATAGTGAGAATCATACCGAGCAATATGCCGCACACACACACATACACACACACACACACACAATTAGCTATTCCTCACGCTATCACTACCCCCCCCACCCCCAATCCATGCACGCTCCATTCACCACCCATCCACACGATACCACAGCACG